TATAGATACGAGTACATATGTATGTAGGTGCAAGGGTGAGTGCTGGGCATGTGCATAACGTGTATAGGTGTGGGTGTGGCTATGGATATGTCAAAGTGCTTAACGTATGCGTAATGCATGTGTGGGTGTAGGGCATTATGGATACATAAATCAAATAAAATTTCAGTCATCCTATACATACAGACATTTCGTACATATCGTAGACCCATTCGAAATCATTCATTAAATGGAAATTCGCAACGGTTAAAATAGTTTGGGCAAGACTGCAGACAAACCCAATCAAACCGAAATCTGTGGATTTTGTATCCCTTTGTTCGACTGCTGGGTACATTGACCCCCGTTCATTGTACATAAGCACTCTCGAGTCTGCATTCGAATGTGAATGCGAATGAATGCAGATGAATGTGGATGATGGTGATCGCATCAAGCCAGCCATCAGTTAAGTCGTTGCCCTGCCACATAATCTAATTTGCAAAAAATATGAAATTTGGAAGCCAACAGTTTCGTTTCTCCCCGGTCCCTTCCTTTGCATGCTCCCTCTGCGCATTTCCCTTCCTCTGTGGAACGGAACTCAATGGAATTTTCCTTTTGGGTAATAAAAAAACAAAGTCAGCAGAGAGTAGCTAAAGAGTTTAGTCCCCAACGAAAAACATACAAACGCACTGGAATTTTAATAATCATAAAAAGTTGAGGGGAAAAAGTAAAACAAAACCAGCTTTAGGGACGAAAGGAGCAGCAAAAAATCAGAAATGAGCTATGGTAAAGGTCAAGGGGGATGGGATAAATTATATGGGCCACAGATATTTATGGGGGTGTCGTTATGGAGGTGGCAGCAGACAATGCCACGCGGCATAGACCAACTTGAAATGCAATTGAAAAGTTCCCACAAGAAATGTCATAAATGTTGACTCAATGCCCAGCAAGTGGGCCTCTGACTGTGTGTGTGTCGTGTGCCGTGTGCCGTGTGTGTGTGTGCTCTCCGCTTAATTCGTATGTAAAACTTTATTAAGGGCAGACCCAAAAGGCAGTGTGAGGCGCGAAAGCTGAGGAGAGCTGCAACTGTAAAGCTAACAAATTAGCTGCCTGGATAAGGGTACAGGGGGAGGGTGTGTCTGTGGGGCACGGAATAAGGATGTGGGATGGGGTGTACAGAAACTTTCGTGCAACCGGACAAGTTTAACAAAAGTCTTAACATATTTTCTTAATCCAAAAGTTTACTACAAATGCGACTTAATTGTTGGTGAGCGTTGCCATCTTTTACTGCTTCTGCACCACTGCCTCCCCTCGCCTCGCCTCGCCCCTCCACAGTACATTGGGCACTGTGCCACGCCCCCTTCTGGCTGCTGTCGCCGGGGATAAACAAAAGACCGGAGAATGCCAAGTAGAAAGACCGAAAGGAATTTGCTGTTGATGATGTTCAGCGCGCTTTTTATTAAGTGATTAAAACAGAAAGTATAAAGAGCAAAAAAAAAAAAGGGAGTGCAGAAAGGAAAGTTTCCGCTTAAGCTAAGAGGAAAAGGAACACAAAGAAAAAGTAAGAGAAAATACTGCCAGACCCATTTGTGGGTTGCATAGGGACCCCAGGGGCCAGCGACTTTATTCATCAGGGGGCGAAATAAAAGGTAAAATGGGAGCGGAAAAAAAGGAAAAGGCAAGGGCAAAACCAACAATAACCTCTTAGGAGAACAAGAGTTATGTCAAAATTTTTGCATAAAATATTCAAGCACATTCCAAGAGGTAAGCTTCAATAGTTTCCATTCGTTTTCTCTGAGTGCTAGAATACGTGCGTCTCGTATATAATATTTAATTTGGATTTAAGTGTGTGTTATTTAAATGCTAAAGCTCTTGGAAGACCCAAGATTATGTTTACTTTGATGTAGCAAGTGTAGAAGTTCGACAGGAAGAAATCTAGTTCATTTTGTGGGTGCCTTTGAAATCAATTGAGATTAAGATTCTAATTCCGATTCTGATTCTGATTCCGATTTGCCATTTCCAATTTGCAGGCTAAGAGATTCCGTTCTCAAAGAATTACTCCGCACAAAGGACCGTGTAAATTGCAATCTCGCCACACACACACATATATACGGGACACTCGGATACATGGGCCCACCTTGGACAATGTGTTTGTGGTCTGACCCATCCCATTCCCATTCCCATCCCCATCCTCTTCCTATTGAGCTCCTTCGGCGTTCCCCCCCACCCTACAGGACGAAAAGTGTTTGATTACAGTTTTGGTTTTTCGGTTTTCGGTTTTCGGTTACGGCCTTTCAATTTTGGCTTTGACTTTGGCCTTAAGTTGACTCGAGATGTAAGTGGTTTGCTCAACTTCAACGCCTTACCCGCACCCCCGCCCCACCACCACGACTGTCTATCGTCCTTTGGCTCTTGTCAGCTGCCTCGCCTGCAGTAGGTCGGTGACGGGGATGTGGATGTGGATGTAGATGCGAATGGAACTGAAATCAATAAGTGTGTGTGACATTTGTGTCACATTTATGTCGGAATTTTGTGGCATTAATGTGCTTCGGTTTATGGCCCTTGCCATAGTTCGTGTTCCTGTTCCTGTTGTCGCCTGTTGTCGCCAGTGTGTGCGTGTGCTGGCCTCCCATAATGTCAGTATTTATTACAACAGCTCGACGGAATAGAGCATTGTTAATGGCCCCCAGAAAAGGGGCGACAGATAGAGACATTCTCATCTGTCGACGGACTCTGATTTCCTGCCAACACATGAAGACATAAAAACTTTCGGTAAATCATTGCCGGGCAATGGTCACTGAATGCGATTATGGGTTGCTCTTGTCTGTGAATAAATATGTACGACAAGATGGAAATAATGATGAGTGAGAGCTAGTCGGCCAAGAGTGGGACTGGAATGGAAGAATGGAATATGAGTATTTCTGCGTACAAATGGCTGAACCATCCAAGCCCTGTGGCATGTGCTCTGCTCCGTTCCCCAGTCAGCACTTTCATTATTGGTTAGTGCAATCGTTTTATGGCTAACTTTACGCCTTGAGGTATGCGGAAAATACTTACAAGTAATTGAACGCTTTCGAATTGCCATCGGCCAACACGCTGGAGTCGTGGGCACCTGGGACTATGCTCCACAGTCCATGGTCCATGGCGCTGCCTGACTCTGCCTTTGGCTTGCTTCGATTGGCTTTGCCTGCTGGCGGCATTCGACTTTCCATACCAGCCATTCACTTTAATCGTTGTCAATGTCTGCGCCAACAGTTGGGATAATCCCGTAAATATTTATGCGCAGTTTGGCCCCAAAAATGGATTGTGGGCGGCTGCGTTGGAGCGGCAGCAGCTGATGACATAACAAAGGCATAAATGGTTTTACTGTTAACTCAACTCGAAAACTGGTCTAGGGCAATCCCCGACAATCGATAACTGTCAAGAATGCCCATGAAAGAGCGAGAGAGGAGCCCAGAGCGAAGAGCGCAGTGGGGCTGGGATAAGTCTTCACTGAATTTAATGCTGATGTTGTGCTAACTTATTTGTAATCTTTGCTGCAGAGCACTTGAGCACTTGCTGGTGTTGTACAACGAGCTTGGAAACTAGCTCCTAATCGCTGCAGACCAGATCAGATCAGATCTGAATGAGGGCCTTAGCTCATTCATAGATGGCTGCAGTTGGTCTTAGATTTGTGGAGCAAGACCTGGGTGTACCGCTCACTGCAAGGAAGTTCAAGGAATCGTAGAATACGAATACCCCATCCAGACACTCATCATTTGGCACAAGAGACGGGACGCGCTGCTGACCGTCATTCCAGGGAACAGGCTGTGGGAGCAACAGCTTCCAGGCTCTCGGCTCCAGGGTCCAGACTGCCAGACTGCCTGTCTGCATTCCCTCTCTTGCCACCTGAGCGCATGTACATGTGCGGCTGGCCATACGGCATTTGCGGACATTCTGTGTGGCCTTCTGGATTGCTGGATTGCTGGATTGTGTCCACTGTCTGGCATTCTGGCATAAAAAATAATGAAAAGTTGCATTTGTCCATGAAATGCTGAGTGGTGATGAGTTGGGTGATGAGTGGGGCAAGGGGTAGAGTAACTCTTTAATGGAACATGAAAGCGATACACATGTTTGGCAATTAGACCTCGCCGCACACAGGACACACAGGGAGGGACCTCACCCATGGCATGGGCATGGGCCTGGGCCTGGGCCTGGGCATGTGCAGCAGACCTGTTCCAGCAGGCACTTATGCCTGTCAATAACTTCATTTCCGTTACAACGTGATTTAATTAACGATTACCCGTATGCCTGTGCCTGTGCCTCCTCCTGCGGTTCCTCCCGCTTCTCCTTCTCATGTGCGTGCTCTGGCCCTGACTTCGCCTGGTGTTTTTTTTTTTTGTGTAACAATTAAGTGAGTTTCCTTGTCGGCCCTTTTTCCTTCGCCCTCTCTCTCTCTCTCTTTGTAGACTCTGACCCTGCTTGTGTGCGTGCTTTGAACGTAACCGCATTATAATTGCAGGACGTGGCTGGTCAAGGCCCCATTTAGGTCTTGATCTACGCCCACAGCCACACGCCCCCGTCCACAGATTGGTCAGCTCGTTTGAGAGTGATCAGCCAACAAAATATGCTCTGCAATCCATTTGCCGCTCTGCTGCTCTCTGAATGCCAGACACACACATATTTTGCCACTCTGAACTTGCAAAGTTCGGCAAATCCTTTTGCCGTGTCCGCAGCCCTGTAATAACAGCCTCATTGGCAGTAATCATAGGCGTATTATGGAGCATAAACATCGTGGCGGTAGCGCTGGCTGGGGCGCAGTGTAGGGTGCGCCAGTCCGTGAGGTAATCATTAATGCATTCAATGTGGTGGCTGCTGTGGCTGCTGTGGCTGCAGTGGCTATCTCGGTGAAGCGCTGCTTATGCGCCCTTAATGGGGGCTATTTTGCCACTGACCAGATTGCAACAAATACAGCTATAATATAGGGGTATTGTAGCCCGCAAAGTGTTCCCTCTCAGCTCAAAAGAAATATAATTGCAGTTTTAATGGTTTTTTGTATAATTCTTTTGGTTTTTATTTTCTTTATACATATTTTAACTTCACAAAAAAAATATTTGTTTTCATTTAATTAAGTTTTGTCCGTAGTATTTTTTGGTTCATGCAGTTTGCATTTAAACAATTTTTTTTTGGTTTTCGTTTTTCTTTTTTTTAGTTTTGAAACATTTAGTTTGTTTGTTTTTTATTGCATGGAAAGTTTTTTGTTTGTTCGTTTTGTTTGGTTTTCTCATTTAAAATTTACACCAAAAAGATCAGCTATGTTTACAACTAGTACATACATATGTTGGGTATATATGTATGTGCATATACTCGTAATTATCAATTTTCAATTTTCAATTTGTAATTGTGTTTATAACGTGTTTATTTTTAACGCAATTGTTTCGCTTCGCTCCTGGTCAAACTCAGTGAAAGTCTCTCTGGCCTGACTCTAGCATCGGCTTCCACTGGTTAGGTTCTTTGAAGATTACCTTGGGCAGCGAACGAAGACTCTTGCACCGATCAATTCATAAATATTAAATTCTCATTTTGGTTTGACTCTCGTTTGCTAAAAACGTTTTGCTCTTGCTTTTGCTCGTTTGATAACAATTCGGATTTTGATATACTTCTCTCCTCGCACTGGGCTCGGCGTCGGTCTCGGTGTCTGTCCATAGTTTCTGGAGCTGAGCAGCACTCTGGCCCCACTCTTGGACAAGGCAGAGCTGTGGGGTTGAAATGTTCGTTTATCGCTAATTTTAAATTTTTTCTTAGGCCTATGCTATTGTATGACATGTACTTTCTCTGTTTTTGTTTTTTTAATACAATATACATACATACATACACATACATATATGTAGATGTAGATGTAGATATAGATATAGATGTAAATGTACAAACACAGTTTTTACAGCAACAACTGAAAATTCAAGTATTTTCTCTAAAACGAGATTTGTTGGTTTTTGTTTGGTTTTGTATTTTTTGTATTTGGTACACACATACATGTTATTCCTCTACGTTTTCGTTTATTTCCCATTTCAATGACTTTCTTGGCTTTGTTCAATACTTAATTTGGTTTAGTAAAATTTGATTTTAACAGCTTATAAATTAGGAAAAAAAGACACACGCGCCCTCCGAGGAGCTTTTCTCTATACAATAACGTTTACATATTTCTTTCTATCTCTTTTACAATTCATCTAATTCAAGTTTCTTGGTTTACACTTTTAAGGCTTAGGCCTGGAAAATACTTGCAACTTGGTTGGCAATCCTCCAATTGTTTCTCTCATTATTTTTTATTTATTTCTTCTTTTGTTTGCCATTTTTCTTTTCAATTTTTTTTTGTGGTTGTTGAAAATTTGACACATTATTTTTTGTTTTGAAGTAGATTTTGAATTTAAGATTTTATTGCTAATTCACACATAGACTAACGCAGAAAAAGATTGAGAGCTAGGTAGATAGAGAGATATCGAGAGAGAGTGAAAAAGAGAGAGAACTGTGTTGAGAGAGACTGATTTTGCCATCAACTGAGAATTGTGGGCATGTGTCTCAGGAACACAAGATCTCAAGATTGGTGGCCTTGAGCTTGAAATCGAAATTGGGCTGGGCTTAGACGGGGCTTCGTTCTGGGGTGGGTACGGATTTTGAACGTGGTTACTGGGTACTGGGTACGTGGGTGAGTATCGTATTGCGTATAGGTTTCATTTTGTCGGGTTCTATATTGTCGTGGATGGCGGGGATCAGATCAGATCGGATCCCGCTATTAGCTTACATATATGTATGTACATATGTAGTAGGAAACCAATGGTTGAAGGACATTATTTGAATAACCATGGGAGTGTTTTTTTCAGTGAGAGACCAGGATTCCAATTTGGGTTTGGGTTGAGTTTGCTATTACAGGTTGCTAAAGGTTTGCTTAAGACTCCATTGATAACATTTATCTAAAAATAATATCATTTTTCGTACATACATGTGTACAGTACACATATCCCATTATGATATTGAACGCTTTGATTTCGACAGCAACATTTATTGTTAAAGAGCTTTTCGCTTTTTTGTTGTTTTTGTTGTTGTTGTATTTTGGACATTGTTTATTGTTTTACAATTTGTATTCCGGTTGGTTTTTCATTTCTTAAGGTCTTTGTTCAATTTAGTTTTAGTTTTAGTTTGGAAAGCTTTCGAGGTGTTTCAGCTAAGGTACAATTTTGCTACAGGTTTTTTATCTACGTGGAATAGAGTTCATCGGTGTCTGTTCCGGTTCTGTGTCTGTGTCTGGATCAGTTTCAGTTTAAGTTGCTGTTTAGTTTACTCCTGGAAGACTACAGCTAAGTACACAGCTATATGTATTGTAAATATAGGGGGTTTTAAAATGCAACAATTACTTTGAGTTTAGATTTAATATAGAGAAGGATCCCTTAGTAGGTTTAACTGCGAACTGCAAGCAAATGAAAAACCCTTTCCATTTCCACACTATATTGTACATATACTCGTACTATATGCTCGTACGTACATTGAGACTTAATTTCAAATACTTTTCCTCTTCTATTTCTAATAGTTTCCTTCTTTTTCGTTTGTTTGTTGTTGCTCTTGTGTGTGTTTGTGTTACTTAAATCTAGCTACAAAAAATTACACTTACACACCAATTCACTTGATAAATACTCGTTCGTATTGTATGTATGCATACACGTCTACATGGATATATGGATATCGGCTAATGCTACTCCTTTTTGGTTGTAGTTTTAGTTGCTGTTTGCCTTATGCACTGCTGCATTGTTACTTTACATCGCTGTTGTGGTCCAATTTCTGATTCAAAGATTTGTTTTTATTTGATTTGCTTTCAGCTTCGAATACTCTCTCTCACACACACACACACACACATCGACTCACGCATGGCTATACAGACTGGAACCTATACACAAAGATTTATGCAGACAAATGCATGTACATATGTATTTCTTTTAGTATATGTATACTGACAAGCTAGAAGACATTATTCATTCATTCATCATCGCCATCCATCCCCTAATCTGATCCCTCTAATTTGGTAATGGAAATACGTACATACCCACTATGCAAAGACAACAACCAAATGGAATAAATTCAACAATATGCTCGAGGGAACACTGTGTCCTCCTCCTCTAGGGGGTTTTTTGTTTTTGTTATCGTTATTTTGATTTAGACAGCACAAAGTTCACATTTACATTTTCTTTTTTGTATTGTATTTTAAGTAGAAAGTCAAAATGGTTTCAATTAAGTTTCAATTATGTCGAAATTCATTTATATATATATTTTCTCTTTGCTAGTTCCTGTGTTTTTCTTTTGTTTTCTCCTTCGTATAAATATAGTTTATCTGTCATTCAATTTTCTCAATATACTTTCTTCGTCTTTTAATCATTAAGATTAAGATTTTAGTTTTAGTTTTAGTTTTCATTGTATAAAGCTTTCGTTTGGTATGCCATAGACATGTACATCGATCAATTTTCAATGGGTAAATTCTTGGGAAAGGGTTGGGGTAGGGGAGTACTTACATGCTGAACATGGGTTAAAACATTTGCCTTGCCTTTTCTTCAAAAGTTGAACGAAACTGCTTGTGCCTGGGGCCATCAGATGGTCAAGCAGCGCAGCAGCACCAACTGCTTGCATGACGGTTATGGGTTTGGGGGAGGGGCGGCTAACCCATTAAATGCCACCGTGCTAATTATGCAGCCAATTGAGTTTGCTCATAGCTGTTGTTGTTGTTATTGTTGTTGTTGTTGTTGTTCTGACTGGACCGGCGATGTTGCAGTTGCAGTTATGGTTGCTGCTGCATAAATACATCCACACTCTAGACCATAATTGCATATTTATGGACATTGGGTAGTAGCTATGTATATTTATTTTTTTTCTGTATTTTTTTTGTGTAGTTTTCTGTCTTTATATTTGTCAGAATCGCGTTGCATTTTCTCGTTGCGCGTTTCATTTTGTTTTTATGCAAATTTCTGCTTGTATGCGTATGCGTGGTTGATTATGGGTGTATATGAGTGCGTGTGTACATGGCCAGCAGCAATAAGCAGTAAGAGAAATAGAGGAAGAGAAAGAGAAAGAAAGAGAGAGAAAGAGAAATAAAGCAGATATTTTAATTGCCATAAACGAATTTCAATTCCCATGCGTTTATATCCTTGTTTTTTTTGTCTTTGCTTGTCTGTATCTCTGAATCTGTGTGTGTGTGTGTGTGTATGTGTGTTTTTTTGTTGTGTCCAATGTGGCATAATGAAAACAACAACAACCAAAAGCAATTCAAGCAATAACAGTTAGCAACAAAAAAAAGTTAACGCTTAGCAAACTTTGCCCATTCGCATCGTCAATGTGCTTGCTCTTCGAAAAGAGTTGGCACACACACACACAGAAACACACATCCATACAATATTTGTTAATAATACATAGAGAGTGGAGTAGTATATTGTGATGACAGGCGTAACATCCAATAAAACTTGCCCAATACAGAAGAATACAGAAGAAGAAAGTTGGCTAAAATACGAACAAAGGCGGATCTACCTATGTATGTATAGGCAACACATATTATTTCTTCCCAAAGAGTTTCATTTCACATAACTTTAATCATTTTACGAGTATCCACATATGTACGGGAACGTATGTATGTAGGTATGTATCTCCTCCTGTTTCGAGTTGAGCGAAATTCTATTTAATTTGCATTTCAATGACAGCGATTTTTTCTGCTCTGCTGTCAAACGACGACCCGAGCCGACATTTTATTTGCTGAAAGTGTCCTCCTCTGTTCTGTTCATTTAATCTGCATACTCGTTTCATTCAATAAGCAATAATAATATTACCACACACTTTTTCACAATTCTGTGCGCTTTTTTGTATCGTGCGTGGGTTTTCCGATTAATTTCCATTTGACATTGAAAAGTGTGCTATGCTGAAATATAATTAAAGAATATCACATCACTTTTATTCGTGGAATTTCTTCTTTGAAGCGTGAATATTGTTGCATTTCGACAGCAGAAAAGAGCACCAACTACATACATATATGAGGCAAAGTTGAATTAATTTTGTCACGATTGGTTCTCAGGTTCTTCCTACGCACCCACACCCACACTCACACATCTACATCCACATCCACATCCACACCCACACTCCCAACTGCCACTCCCATTCATATAAGTTTGAGTCTGCTTACGCTTAAAATAGTTGTACGTAGATTCTTGAGCAATAAAATCTCTTGCCTCGAGTTTTACTCACTCTTCCTTAGAGTTTTGTATATTATATTATTAGACATATATTATATAGTATTCTTCTTCTTCTTCTGGTTCCATCACAGCTAACGTCAATTTTGTAACTCTAGGACATCTAACAACATTTATGTACATGAGAATATTATTTGGTGTACAGAAAAAATAAAACAAAACATAACCAAATAAAAAGTTTACAAATTTTCCTTTTTTTTTCTTTGAAAATAAATTTATTTGAGTTTTTTCTGTTATGCAATTCATCAACCTATATATTATATATATGTATAATTTTCATGGATATATCTATATTAAAGACTATAACACATTTGACAGTTTGCAACATCGATTAATGTACAATACATACATACACAGAGAGAATAACGAACTCTGAAAACTTAATTTAGCTAATTACACAAAAAAAAAACAATTAAATATATAAGTATGTAAATACAATTAAATAGATAAAAAAAAAAAAGAAAAACAAATTTAGCTTAAAACAAAAACACACATACATACACACAAATATACATTCGTATGCATAAAATATATAGGTACGTAGTACGTACATACGTATATATATTGTAAGTATATTGACGAGTATGTTTTTGGTATATGTATATTATTAATTATGTATATCTAGAAACGAACAACAACAACAACTCGACCGACTCAAAAGGTTAACTGAGAAATGTCGCAGAGAGAGCGTTTGGCATTGGGACTCAGGGATCGTCGTGGATACGGATACTCACTGCACACAGATTAGCAGGAGACACCCTGTTTGGCCACCGTGTACCAAGTGCTGACCGTCACCAGCGATGGGGAGTCCGGTGTGTGCGGCAGCTGCTGCTCCTCTCCCTCAGCCTCTCCCTCTTCCGGCCCACCCACAATCACGTTCAATGGGGGCAAAGGCAGCTGAGCTACCTCTGCCCCTCCTCCGGCTGCCACTCCTGCCGCTCTTGGCTGGACACGGGCTGGACTTCGAGTGTACTCTGTGCCTTCCTTTTGCTGCTGCTGACGTTGTCGGGATTTTCTTTTGCTCTTTTTTGACACAAACTGCTGCGGCACCTGCAGCTGCAACTGCGATTGTGGCTGCGGTTGTAACTGCGACTGCGACTGCGACTGCGGATGGTGGAAGTGCATGGGCTGCGGTGTGTGCAGGTCGCGACCCACCTGCGGCCCCACCTGCGGGCAGCGGAACCGAATGGCCTGCTCGTTAGCCACGTTCAGCTCCGGCCATCGTGCCTGTTGATGCTGTTGGCGCTGATGCTGGTGTTGCCTCGTTTTTTGGTGATTTGGCTGGCGCTTCCTGCTCTTGCTGCGCTTGCGCGACTTGGACGTGGACTTGGAATGCGATCGGCATTGGCGCATTGGACGCTGCAGGACTTCCCATTGTGGACGTTGGCAGTGCCGGCAAATGGCCGTGCGACTTATGCCGTCTTCATCTTCATCATCATCATCATCATCATCATCATCATCATCAACATCATCGTCGTCGCTCTTGTCATACTCCTCATCATCGTATTCATCTTCCTCTTCGTGGTGGTGGTGGTGCTGGTGGTGTTGGTGGTGGTGGTGATGTTGTTGCTGGTGGTGCATGTTGCAGTTCATCGTGCTGGCCGTTGCTGTGGCTGATGTTGTTGTGGTTGTGGTGCTGCTGCTACTGCCACCGTCCATGTCAATGATGTGGCAGCCTATGACTGCCGCTTGGTGTCTAGTGCTATGTTGTTGTTTTTGCTGTTGCTTGTTCTTCGTCTTGTGGTTTGACTTACGTTTCTCTGGCTCCTGTCGCTGCTGCTGCTGCTGGCTGCGACTGCGTCGCGGCCTTCGCACCGTGTACTCATCGCCCTTGTCGGTCGGATATGGTCAGAATGATGTATCGAACACGGACATGGATCTGGAAATGGCATCATCGTTGCGACAGGCCTCCAGGAACTCCTCAAGCGTCACAACACCATCGCGATTGATATCCATTTTCTGTGGAATAGAAGGGGGGATTTCAAGTGTGAAACGATATGCTAGTATCGCTACAGATACATATCTGTACACTTAGGACTACGAGTATGCAATGACAGTTTGGCGGATGGACTGTGTGAATGATTTCCATCATTAATTTGGCTCTCTCCAAACATCATTTAAGTACAAGCAGTGCCGCGTGCGAATTTGCTCTGCTCAATTTATTTCGAATGCCATCCTTAAGCCCAACGGGCAACACGACCGCTAATGACAATGCGTGACTGGCAAGCCAAGTCGCAAGCCTCCCACTCCCCCACTCACCACGCTCAATCTGGCTGGGTGTTCTGTGTTCTGTTCTGTTCTGTTCTGTTCTGTGCTCTGGCCAGCAAATTGAAATAGACAATTTTCGGCATTTGCATAATGCAAAGTAAATAAGTTTCATGTTCGTGCACTCGTCCAGACACAAATTCAAATTGTATAATTAGCATAAATAATGGTTGGGAATTGTTTCAGATTTTGCCTGAAGGACAGAGCAAGAGCCAGAGGCAGGATGCTTACCTGAAAGATTTGCTCCACCTTGCCCTTGATCTTCTCCTCCTCGGGACACTCGTCGGGCAGGCGGCCCATCAGCTCGTATATGGCAGTCACAATGTCAGTCATTTCCTCCCTCGTAATGAAGCCATCACCATTGATGTCGTACAGCGAGAAGGTCCAGCGTAGTTTCTCCTCCACCGAGCCGCGCGACAGTATCGAAAGTCCTTGAACAAAGTCCTGTGACAACAACAAATAGAAAAAAGCTCGCTTAAATATACAACTGAAACAGAGAGAACCAAGAGGCGGGGCCCAAGCAGACATGGAGACATGGGACATACAGAATTACAGGTATAAAAGAAATTGAAAATATGTTTTAAGAAATTGCTCGTAAACCGCCGACCATGAGCACGTAGCGTCTGCCATATCAGCCTTGTCATGCCTCATTCCGCCCCAGCCACCCAGCCACCCAACCGCCCATTCCCCTCATCTGTTTTTTTTGCTTCTGCTGCTGCTGCTGCTGTTCCTGCTGCTGAAGTAGACATTTATTTGTATGCTTTTGTATGACAAATGTACCTAGATAAGAACTTGCGGTAGAATGGGCGAAACTTTTTACGACTAGGAGGAGTCTCTGACACCCTTCCCTCTCTGGGACTGTGTACTGTGCACTGGAGGTGTTGAGATATTTCGGGAGGGCCACAGCCACAGCTGACATAGGACTGAGTCTTCTTGAGTTTGCATATACCGAATGGCAAACCGGATGGGAGATGAGGTCTAGAGACCACTGGCAAAACGAGCCAGAATCGCCAGAAGCGCCAGAAGCAAATAGCAGATAGATAGAACTGGTAGCTGGGAGCAGGGATCTGGAGCCAGAGGCATCATTTGTGTCTTGTTCTGGCCATTTGGGCAATTGCGACGTCCAACTAATTTATCAAACTGAAAATGGAATAGAACAAAAAAAACTGGCACGATGTAAGACGAAGTGCAAGAAACTTTCGACCATTCCGACGTAGACAAATGGCAGAGAGTATAAAAGTGGCACAACAAAGTTTCAAAATTGAAAATTCTGGAGGAGCATTAAAGAGAGGAAGGGAAGGAATGTGCGGTGGATGTGGTGTTGAGTGATTAAGCGGATTTTGAGAATTTATCTCGGCTTGACCAGCAGTTTGGACATCAATGATTTTGAGATTGGGGATTATACGAGTATTTAATGTGAGTTGCTGAAATCGGAGGAATGGAACCAACAAAGTTGTTAGAAAAACAACTCCTAAAACTGAGGGACTTAACAAATTAAAGCTGAGATTTTTTAAAATAATAAAAAATACTTAAAAAAATAAATATTACCCATAGACCATTAGATATTTAATTCAATTAAAATGTTTAATAAAAGGTATGACTATAAATATTCTTTGCCATTAAAATATGCTTAAAATATTTTAAATTTACATTATCCGCAAAATCATAAGAATAAGAATAAGAAATTGAATGCCACTTAACATATGGAAAAATGTTATTGCCTGTTTTCGCGACACTTTCCCGAATTTTCTTTGATATAAATTAAATTTTCGTGTTCGTTCAGATTTGTTAGTACTTAAGTGGGCGATAGAGTGTTGGAAAATATGGAGAATAGGTAGGGGAATACCTTTATTGTAATTCACTTCTTATTTTTAAGTTGTGGTGTACCAGCAGCCAGCCGCATCTTTCATTTTGCACTTTCATGTGGCACTTCTTGGTGGTACTCGTAAGTAATGATTTCACCATTCATACGAGTAGATGCCACAACTCCTGCCTTGTGCTCTTACTGCATTCCCCCTGTCTGTTCCCCCCTCTTTATTGTTCTCCTTCTCCTGCGCTTTCGTTGCTCCCCTTTGGTATGACGCCTTCTCAATTGCTTTTATCTCACACACTTGAGCAATTTATCTTTTCTGCCAGCGTAAACAGGTCGCACACACTTTGCCTTCCCTCTTGGCATATTGGCCCAGCCCACAATTTCAATATGGCCATGACAGCTTTGTGTGTGTTTGTTGGCTATGCTCTCATTGTTCTTGTTGTTAGCTACATAGTACTTCTGATGTTGCTGTGTGCTATGTGTGCTATGTGTGCTATGTGTGCTATGTGTGCTGGGTGTGTGCTCTACTCCTGTTGGCAGTTTAATAAACGCGACTGTCATGCAAATCGCGCATAAAACACCTTGCAACAATATGTGAAACTTAATTGAAAAGCGGAAGTCTACTTAGTCCCAGACCGTCACATATAAAACTAGGGGTTTGCCTTTTGCCGGGCCGTTCCTCTGCCCCTTGCCCCTTGCCCGTGCCCCTGCCGCGAGTGGCATGCTTTATATCGAGTACGTGCCGTGTAGTCATTACAATTTTGAGGTCATTATTCAACGGCGAAAAATGGCGAGGCAGGCAAAAAGCCAAAGGCTCACACACAGATAAGATGCCACCATGGGCAAAGGAGGGGACTTTCTTATTTGTGTGTGTGTGTGTCACTGTACATTCTGTTTTCTCTCTCTTTCTGTTTTCCAGTGATGGACTGCGGACGTGATTGTGCTCATTATTTGAAGTACGTGTGCTGGGCAGCGCCTTTTTACTCTCGTTCGTGTCACGATGTTCTCGCTAGGAAGGCTTTCTCTGCTTTCTCTGCTTTCTCTGCTTCGTTTTGTCTCTTCTGGAGCTCTGTCTGGTTCTATTGTTTGACTTGGGTTTTGCGTTTATCTGCCTCGTTTTTTTCGTGGTGTGGCGGTACACACTTGTCGTGTGTCTTCTCTCTGCTGTGGGTATCCAGCTCATGCAGCTCCTCCTGGTCGCTTCTACAGGAATCCCCATGCATGACAAAGTTAGCGTTAAAATCGCCATAATTCATCGTTTCAATGGCATTGTGTGCTTTTTCCAACACCAGAGTCCCGCACCCTGCAACACATTCCCCTCTTGCTGGGGCTGTTTGAAGCCGGAAGTGGAGTTCATGTTCGGACATTGCAGGGGCAGTCAGGACAGTGAATAAAGTGTAGAAAAATTATTTGCAATTTGCATGCGCCCTAGGGGGTACTGGTGCGGGGGGGTAGAGAGGCAGACGACAGTCAAACAATGGGTCGATCAAGTGGGACAGAAAGTGGGAAAGAGAGAGGGTGGGCAGGGCCCTGCTTTTCACAATCTGCAGAAATTTATTCGGCTTTTTTTTTGCTTTGTCTTTGCTGGAATAGAAATGTTGACAATGACAAGCGACAGCAGAGAAACACGCGAATCTAGTGGCAACTATAGCTCTGTCCCATGTGGACTATAAACTATTCTTCCCACCACACACTCTGCAATTTTCAATTTCGAGACATTTTCCTTGATTTTTGATTTTGGCGCATTATTTTTTTTTGAGGTTTTCCTCTTGCTTTGGCTTTGGCTGCTGCCATCCGCAGTGTTGCCCGCCAGCAAGAAAATGAACGAAAAAACTGCCAACAGCAATGAATGGAAAGAAAGGAAATTCGTGCAAAGAAAAGCTGTGGAAAATGCAGCGGATGCTGCCATTAAATGTGTCACATTTTTCGGTGGCAACTAACTTTGGTTTTTGGTTGATGTTTTCTTTTATTTATGATAAATTTTGAAGGCGAGCTTTTTGAACTGCGATTGAATAAGGAGTGGGAGGAAAGTTACAACTCTTTGTTATATGTATATTTAAATTATAAAGTTCCACAATCACAGTTTAGGTACAGTTTAATTCTGCGATATAAAGATATATGTAATGGCTCTTTTGTTTTAAATTTTTATTTACTACATATTGTATTTTTAATGTGCTATCTACTTCTACTGGTACTACTAATTCTTCGTAGTAATTATAATTAATAAAATTACTTGTAATACATACTCGTATGTAAATACATTTTCTTTCTATTATCGTTGATTTAGGGGAAAATAACATGTTTTACTCCTCATTCCTTTTCCACCAACCCGATTCTAATTATTTCTTTTACTTCCTTGAACGTTTAACTATTCGTAAGTTGGTTTTACTACTGCGTTAACTTCATTTTCCTCTCGTTATACATCTCCCCAGACTTCTAATTATACAGCTACCCAAAACTTCTGCCCTCCTTCCCAATAACTCCGACAGTTTTCTGAAGCCGAAAATGTACCGAAAACCCCATACCTCTTTTGCAAAGGAGGCGCCACCGAGAGGTTCGGTTCCGTTTGATGACTTAGAGGGCGAGTAGGCGGCTGTGTGTGAGTGAGTGTCTGGGTCTGGGTCTGGTGTCTCCACCATCTCGAGGAGTCTGGCCCGGTTGTGTGCTGGGGTACTTATTACAACTTTTATGATCCGGCAGTTAATAGAGCGCTCAAACATCTATGTATCTGGGAGAGCAATGGACTTCAGTTGGGGCTTTTTGTTCACTGCCGTTTTGCTGCTGTCACTAATAAACCGTAACTAAATGCGATTACCCGGGACGAGGAGAAGAAGTTGCCATGGCTGTTGCTTTCTTTGCAGCATTTTGCAGCATCATTTGGCGCCACTCTGCCACTCCATGGCGCCTCATCCCCGCCCGCTCATCCTGCACCCATCCAGGGTGGCAGCCAAATCAGCTTCATTTAGAGACGACTCACGATGCCACACACAACTTTTGCTTCGAGTCGACTCCCTCAGCCCAGCGGACTCTCCACACCGAACTCGCCTCAGACTTAGACTCGACTCGACTCGACTCAGCTGTCAGCCATATTTTATACTTAAAATGTCTAAAGTAATTTCATTGTACTTAAGTCCAGTTCTCCTTCTGCTTCTTCGAGTAGGGGATGGTATGGGATGCTGCTTTCCCCCGCTCGGGTGGTGGTGGTGACCTCAAGAATTTCTGTTTGCGCCGCATCATGGTCGGAGGGAGCAGCACCGAGTGAATTAAATTGAATTGTTCAACTCGAAGTACTCGAACTGGACGCATTTGCCTTGCCATTGAGTGGCAGGATTAATTATGGATAACGATGGCACATTCGACTGATAAACTGCAGTGATGACTGCCAGCTGTCGACTCTGCACCCCCGCCCGGACACGGACTTCGACTCGGACTCAGTGTCCGCTCAATTATGTAGTTAGACACAAATTTAGCGCAGCTTTCAGTGTCCCTGAATGAGATATACTATACTGCTGCGAGCACACACATGCACAATGCCATTAGGTTGATATTTGCTTTGTTTTGGTTTGACTCGACTCGATTCGATTTAATTGCAAATGGGCTCCGGCTTCTGCTCTGTAGAAGTAAGTGCCACAATTTGTTTTGTATGTAAGTTGATTTCTAAGACAATTTCTCAATTTCCTTCACTCTGCTCTGCTCTGCTCGCCCCCCCAGTCCAATCTAAATCGCAATTTCGCCCCCGGAACACATGAAAGTCCATTAGTTTGACTCCTCGCAGACCTACCGCAAGGATATTGTGTCTCGGCAGCCACAGACGAGGCATGAGACACGAGGCACAAGGGACGGAAATGAGCTGCTCAAATGTTTCCCATTGCATTCTCTCGTGTCTCTCCTACCCGCTTGCCCTTACTTTGAGAATTTTATATGGCTTAGAGGACATTGTTATTATCAGGTTTAGGTGGTTGGCAGGCTTGTTTGGGGAATTATTTTGCTGCTGCTATTGATATGAACTATCCATCAATAAAGAATTATTTGTACAATAGGATTTTGTCCTTTGCATATTTGTTGCCATCATATTTGTCCCAGCTGTACCAGATCTGTGTGCGTATAGTATTTATAGCTAGAACTCACCTCAAAGCTGACGATACCGCTGCGATCTTGATCCAGTGTATTAAATACATAGTGTGCGTATAGGGTTGGGTTGGCTGTTGTTAAATGTCGTTTCGTTGTTGGATGTCGTCGTAGATTGGATGTTGTTGTGGTTCGTTTAATGAAAAGCAAAAGAAAAATACAGCGTTAAATGTGAGAGTTCTATTCGATGGCTGGCGAGACAAATTAGGTCTCAGCTGAAGCATTTAACTTGATTTGCTTTGGTAACATTATCAAATCAACTCTACACACACACACATTTATTACTATAGAATGCACACACAAGCTACAAGCTACAAGCTACAGGAAGCTATAGAATAAATAGTTCGATAGTTGGGGCCAGCATAAAGATATGAATGGGATCCAGTGTTTTGGGTCAAAACTTTTATGTGGGTCGTCGTCGTCGTCTGCGTCTTGGCAACAAAAACTTTTCGCTTTTCCTTTCAGTTTTGTCAAGCATAAAAGTTTTTCCATGTTTTTCGTTGAATCGTTCCTGTTTATCACAGGAAAAGTCAACATTTTTTGGCAAAAAGTTTCAATGGAAGCTGGCGCTGGCGCTGAGGTTGTGGCTGAGGCTGAGGCTGGGGGCGTTGGGAAAACAGTTCGCAGCTAATTATGCGAGTGTCTCTTGTGGCTGCTGATAAGCTCAGGCACTGCCCCTGCTGTGCCCTGGTGAACATTTGAACATTTTCAATTCCCCTTGCGGCTGCTGCCACAGACAAAAAGTGTTGCCTACTTATGGGGGCTCAACGAGTTCTTCTGCTGGGAGAGCGTTGTCTGACGCTGTTATCTGTCTCTGTCTCTGACTCTTGGTGTGTGCCGAGAGCACTTAGCGCACTGCACTCACTCCAGTGCCCTTCTCCACTCCACGAGGAAGCAGAGTTTTGGAAAAAATTTCTTTATCTGGCCATCACATAATGTTTTGATTATTTCATTCCCACTGCTCTCACTGGCCTGCCCTTGCTGTAATTTTACGATTCGCGTTTATGTTTATGACTCTTGCTGTTTTTTTCGATGCTTTGGATGCTGCTGATGCTGAAGTTTTTGTCGGTTTATGCGCTTGTGATGTTTACACCTCCTTGCCGGGTCAAAGACGTCAGTTCATAAAGTCGCATCAAATTTCATTCAGGACACAAAGGGCAAAAGCAAGAGCAACAGCAAGAAATGCCCTTTTTAGTGCCTTTTAAAAGTGAGAGACTATAAAACGAATACCCGAATAACCCATATCAGAACGCTACTGTGTACCAGTGCTGCAATTCGATAATCCTAAAGGGAGAGTCCCGAAAGTATTCACTGCATGAATGCATGAATAACTGATGACTAACTTTTATCTAACTGTTATCAAATACAGAATATTCTGAATCTATTTGCTGGCATCCTTCAAAAAGTCATTAATTCATTTAATAATTAATATAACCAACTGAATGATTGAATGCCAACCCGTAGCTGATCTTATTGTCTATACCCTTCTCCCATCGAAATCTCATGCCCAACGTCTTGTATACATCCCATTTGAAATGCTTTCAAAGCATACTGGCTGCCTTAAAGCGGCGAAACGTACTGTACTGTGCTTGTGCTGTATATACGAGCAAGCACGGGGGAGTGTATAAATTTATTTGTCAAAATTTATTGTAGCCGTTTGATGCCTAATGTGTTTTTATGACGCATGACGCAGAGTGGCACGCCCACACCACGCACAGAACTCCCAACCAGCGGGTGAGTGGGGAGCGGGAGTGGCTGCAAGGTCAAAGCTCAATGCCAAAAGATGGCATCTGCTCCCAGCCTCGCTCCAAAAGGAAATCATTCTTCCGCCGCTCTCGCGCATTTTGCCATCTTCTTGGTCGCTGGCGCTCGTCGCTCGTCGCTCGTTCGCGAACAAATCAAAAATGACTGCAAATGTGCCATGTAAAAATTGTTATAAAATTTGCGCAGAAATTTGCCAAAAAGAAGCGGAGCGCGAGTCTGGCAAAAAACAAAGCGACAAAGCGCTGGGGAGAGGGATGTAGCCGGAGCCGGAGCTGAAGCTGGAGCTGGGACCAAAAGTGATAAATCACCAACTTTGATGATGCTTTTTTTTGTTGTTTTTTATTTTTTTGCTTCTGTTTTGCCTCTGTTGGGGCTGCCAACTCGTATTAGGATCTGGCAGCGTGTGTGTGTGTGTGTTTGTTGGGGGTGGTGGGCAGAAAGCAGCTTATCAAAATAAAAAATGATTTCATTATTTATTTTTCATCAGATAACGGGCAGACACGATGAAGAATAAGAATAATCAGCGGGGGGTTGGCGGCCATGAAGAGGGTTTGCAGAGTAAGAAGAGCAGCGAAAGGGCAGAGGAGCGGTGGAAGGGGGAAAAGGACGTTAGTCTCGTGTTTACTTGGTATTTCTTATTTCTGTTTCCGGCTGTCGATACTCTCCAATCTCCACTCTCCATCCCGGCGTGCCACTTCTAGGGCCATCACAGATTCGCCCCCGCATTTCTGGCTCTGCCCGCCAGAGCCATTGTTGTGGCAGAGCAGTCAAAATGGGGTTATTATAATAATTCAGTGGCCCAAACATGTGTAGCAATAACTTTTCTACTTCTACACCGCATGCTGGCGAGGGGCTGGAGCAGTACACAAAATATGTTTCATAAATAGGATTTATGCTACTCGTCCTCCTCTGGGCATGCCCTCGCGAGGAGAGCATGAATTTGATTCAGCAATTTGTAGCAATCCCAAAATAGGCATTCCGAAATTATAAACAATGTACAGTACGTTGCAGGCATAAGTAGATGGCAGCTTCATTCAATGTAAGAATTTTGTGCAATCGGAATCTTTGCATTAGGCCAACGATTGGCTTGGAATTTAATCAGTTATCAGTTATCAAAGTTTTCCTTTATTTCTTTCAATCATTTTAAAGTATTGAGCCAGAGATTAGCTTTTCGTGAGTACTCGTAAATGGTGTGTCACACTTTGGGATGTCATTCTATTAATCTTTCTTTTATTTTCACTGTCAAAATACAATTAATTCGGCTCTAAGAATGTATAGATTTTTGTGTGGTAGCATCTGTTTTATATGTTATTTTACTTTGTTTTTGCAAGTGCCGCACTTAAAATAAAGTTTATGTTTGGCTTCTGGATCTCTTGTGTCCATTCGATTGATACTCGAACTACTCGTTCCCCACGGATTGCCACAGCTAATTCAAGAGTTGCCTCCCGTGGCTGCACTGTTGTGGAACTCGCCCTGCCCTTCTCACATAATGTAATGAATCAGCAATTCAGTTAGTTACTGGCCGGCAAAAGAATTTCGACTCTTTCACCCGGTGGTCTCATCCTCAGTTGCCTTTGCAGTTGTAAATGTAAATTGTGCTGAGGGGAAGGGTAAAAAAATGGAAAAAATTTCACTTGTTGTGCAAACGAGGTCAAGTGGGTGGCTTGGTTGGCACTCCCCCTTCCTGCCCTTCCTACGCTGCCCCTCCTTGCTGCACCCCTTTCCCCTTAGCCCTGCTGTCCCGCAGCAGACCGCGACTTGTGAAACATGATTTCGCTTTTTATGCTTTTTTGCTAATTTGCTTTCTGCATTTCATATTTTTCAAGCCAAGGGCCAGGCCAGGGCAGCCGTCCAAACAAAGAGTCGCCTCTTTGCCTTTCTGTATGCTCGTATAACCAGCATCCTTCTCCTTCTCCTTCTGCTCCTCCTCATCACCATCATCATCATCATCATCATCATCACTCTCGGTATGATCATCTGCAGCAACTCTTTGGGGTCAGTGCCGGCTGCCCAAGGGCCATACATTTTTATCAATGGCATTTGCCTTGAGTTGACTTTTGGCCAGCTCGAAGCTCGAATCTCGAATAGGGACAGGACACACAGCGGAGCAGGGGAGGTATGGAGTGGGAATAGGAATGGAAACGAGGGGGGTCTCTAGTCAATTGGCCTTTGTTTTGGAGGTAATCATAACTAAGGCAAAGGGAGCACAAATATCATTTTCATTTGAATGCACTGCCCCCCCCCCCCCCCCCGGAATGTTCTGCCCCCTCTGCCAACAAAGTGCGTAACGGTTCAATGATTCCCACAACCGATTAAGGCTAAGTGAAACTTATGGAATGGAGGAATGCCACGTGTGGTAGGATAACTGCAGTGCCAGTGCACATCGATTGCTATAATTGGAACATATGGAATGCACTGAAGGGATGGACACTCGATTGCTTTAATTGGAACGTGTGGAGTGGAGTCGAAGAAACGTTGGCCAGGAAAATGGAAAATGGAACAGGAAAATTTGAATGGATGTGCGCGTATAATTTTCGTAAATGGAATGGAATGCGAAGGACAGCAAAGTCAAGTTTACACTGAGGAATAAATGGAATGGTAAGAAGAAACACTCCTGAAACGATGAAGGCGAAACGGAAGTGGGAAGAGGGTGCACCAGAACGAATCTAGGCAACGGAATGAATGAATCCCACATCAAAGAACCAAAGCTGTGGCCAGCACATCCTCACATATTATTTTCAAAACTAAATCTATTTTAACTACTTAGCAAAGGAAATTCTTACAACAATGTCCATATATTTAAGAACATAACTATAACAGAGAATAGACTCTAACACTATGGATGATTGGCTGCTCTGTGTTTGGTACTAAATGTGAATGCTAACAAACATTAAAATTGGTTGCGTAAGCCATTCAAGCCATTCAGCTATTTAAGAGCAACGTTCATGTAATAGCATGCTTTAGTATGTAAGAAAATCATTGCTAGTTCAAGTCAGAAACATTAACGAAACAAAGTATACTGTACCGCACGAACCTCCCTGTGGAAAAAACTGCGAGTAGATCACTTTGAAGGTGTCCTCCTTGACGACGCCCGTGGGGCACTCAGCCTTAAAGCCGCGATAAATTCGTTTGATCTCGTCCTCCGTGAAGCGGGTCGCCCGACTCAATGCGCTCAGCGAGTCCGGTCTGTAGCGTGCTGGCGTCTCGAATTCCTCCAACTCCGAATCTGCAAAGTAAGTATAAATGAAGAGATAATTTGGTCAGAGAGTCCTTTGAAAGATAGGGGCGGGGCCTCTTCTGGCTTGTCTTTCTTACTAGCATTCTTGGCGATCCTTGATACCAGTAAGATGGATACTAAAAGCCTGTTTAGAGCATTGCCCGGATACAATTTGTTCTCCTTTAAAGAATCTACATATATTAACCTGTGGTAGCTTGTATTCGTTAGGGCACACAAGGGTTTCTACAAGAAGCTGTCCAGCTCTTAGCCAAGTTTCTGATTTCTTATGAAAGTATTCTGAGGATACTCCCAAAGTCTGAGCAATTTAAAATTTTTTAAATTCAACTTCACACAAAATCACAATTTCTGATTCAGGGCGAATCCACATAAAGGGGACAGAGTAAATATACTTTCGTCATTTGCCTTTTGGGCATGTCCTAGTCAAGTTGGCTTTCTTCATACGCTACCCACACTCCCCTCCAACGCACCAACCCTCCATTCGTCTCTCTCCCACCAACCCGTGCAACGACACACGCGATTTTGATCTGTTGAGCCGCTCGATGTGTGTTGAATTGACTTGCAAGTTGCCTTAAGTATCTTGTAGTACTTTGCCTGTCGAAAGTTTGCGCCTCTTGTTCGAGTCTGCTTTGTGGTTCGTGGCTAAGGATGGGCTCTAGGGGCTGTTGGGACTGTTGGGGCTGTGGGGGAGGGCTGTAGGTTCTGGTTTGGCTGTGGGGTTGGGGTTTGGTGTTGGGGTTGCGGATGGTGGTATCCTCAAAAAGGTAAATGGTGCTTGACTTTTACTTTTTGGGCCTTTGCTGGCGTCGGTTTCTTTCAAAAGGCGAGAAAAAAAGTTCTTTGTAGCTGAGGCGCCTCAATTTTAGTTAATTAAAAGTTTTACCCCCACATACACGCACCCACATTTAACCCTCTCACACACACACACACACACACACATACCTAGAAGCGCCCACAGAGATTCATGGACAGAGAAATGCAGCCGGCAACAGAGAGTCAACACACGCTTGACAAATGGCTGCATAAAAATGCATGAAAATATGGGAGAGGCACAGAGAACACACAGGAAGACAAAGAGAGAGAGGGATAAAGAGTGGGAGTGGATAGGTGGGGGTGGAGAAGAAGGATATGGACTGAGGGGAGGCCCACTGCATCACAGCAAAAAGGTAAGCGGGCAAAAACAGCCTGCCACTGAGGAACAGTGGAAGAAGTAGGAAGAGAACGTGAGAATTGGAGAGTTATAAAGAGAGATATACAGAGAAGAGAGGCACATATAAGTGGGGGAGAAAGAGAGGGGGAAGTGAGTAGAGAATTTGTGGCAAAGTTGGGGAAGTGAGGGAAACAGAGTAGACAGCCTGCAATTGTCGTTGCCTTTGGCGTTACATTTTAATTTGCTTGCTGGCTTATGCCACACACACAGACACACATACGGAAACCAAACTCACACGTAGAAATCCACTCTTGGCTTATGCATTTTCATTTTGAGCCAGAAGTGGAGAATGAAATACCAAAAACTGACGTAGAAAAAGGGCCGAACAGCACAGCCCCCGCAGTCATACATTTTCATCTCATTTTAATTTATTTTTATACCCGGTGCACGAAGAGCTTAGGGATATATATTAGAAGTCGAAGTTGATGTGTTATGTGTGTTAAGAACAGAAAAAAACGTTTCCGACCCCTACAAAATATATAAATATTTACATGTATATATTCTTGATAAGCATCAATAGCCGAGTCCATATATCCCTGTCTGTCTGTCCTTCCATCCGTCTTGTTTTACGCCTTGTTTTCAGAGACAAAAAGAGCCAGAGCAACTAAATTTTGTATACAGACATCTGTGAAGTCAAACTGTTACAAGTTTTTTTAAACTTAACCCCTTCTGCCATCAAAAAGGTCGAAAATCCGTGGCACAATTTTGAAGAAAAGAAAAAAACCGAAAGCGCAGCATCATAAAGAATGAACATAACTACCAGAGTGCCGAACCTGGTTCCTATCGTATTATTATTATTGCCAGAATGAAGAATTTAATTTGCAATATCTGCGCTACCTCCTTCCACCCGCTACTCATAATTTCTCCCACTCTATGACACACTCTGCCTCGTGCAGTGTGCGCCCTCTGACGGAGGAGAGCTAGAAGGGCGTGTTGGTGTGAGACGTGAGAGACAGATGTAGCAAAATTTTAAACAAATAAAATATAATATCATTCGTCATAAATCATTAGCTGACATATATACGGACTGAGTAACAGGTACAAAAGTAGAGCCGCGGCAACAGCAGCAATTTATTTTAGAAAAAAACTTATTTTCACAAAATGAGCCACTGTGCTTTGGTTTAACAGTTGCTTCTGATAATGCTCCTGGTTCATTTGGCTTATACCGTATTAATATGGAACCAATATGGAACTCAGCCCTGAGTGTACATCAGTGTAAAATGTACACCATATTCTGTTCCATCCTCTTTGCGCATGTAAAAAACTTAAAAAAATAAATGGCTGAGCAGTGTTGGCCAACATAAATCTAAAAAGACGAAAGCTTCTTTTCGGAGCCAGGCGCGGCTGCCGCTGATCTAGATAATGCAATCCGCTCTGTCCAACCTACCAAAATCCCCTCCCGCATACATATACAATTTATTGTAATGGATACATAAAGGCTAAGCTTACATATGTGTATACTTATTGAAACAGGGTATTGGAAAGGACCCTCTTACTGACTCGTTTGTTTTTTACGTACCGAAAGAATTTGTGGGTAATACCTCCGAAACAGAAAAACCCAGAGGCATTTAAGTCAAAGTGGAAATAATGCATAAGAAAAGTAGAATTATGATAATAAAAATTGAGAATTGGGAATTTATGGCACAAATAGATGGCATAAGACTTTGACTAAACCTTATATCCTAGCGAAAAAACTTAAAAATTATCTGACAAACCAGGAACCTAATTAAGTCAAATTATAAGAAAGTTGTAGGTCTGAAAATTAATTTATTTTCTTTTCATTCTTCCTCACGCTCGCCACTTCATTAAACTAACTTTTTTCAACCTAATTTTTTCGTGTTTCGTGGCTTGCCGTTCATTTTCAGGATAATACCGTTTACCTTGGAATAAGAAGCTTCTTTATCTTTCTGTCTATTTTTTCTTTGTTGCTTGCTCTCTCACTTTCCATTGCCCCCTGTCTGTATGTTTCTCTTTGACACACACTTTGTCTGTTTATGGTTTCCATTTTATTTTTGTTCCCATTTTCATATTTTTTCCTCGTTACACATGAGTGGATTTTCATTCGCATTCTTCAGTCGCACTCGCAGTGCTCTGGCTGTCTTCTGTGTGTTTGTGTGTCGTGTTCGGGTCTGAGTTTTATGTCTCTCTGGCATCTTTTGCATCATCTACTCGTAGCTCACATTGTGAGCAAAATGTTGACGAAATGCATTAATTCTAATATATATTCATGTGCAGTTGGCACTTTCTTTCGGTTTTGTTTGGCTTTAATTTACCAAAAGTTTTTCATTCAATTTTACTTGCTCATCTTCTGCCTTGCTCCCCTTGGCCAGCGACCATTTCACCCCTTGGAGACAATGGTTGTTTTAGGCGCTTTATTATCAGCTGCTGCTGCTGCTGCTGCTGGCAGGGGCAACAACAAGAGCACACAAAATATTCCCCTAAATGTCTAAATTATTTGTGACACAAACAAATTTGTTGTTGTTCGGGCTGCGACAGCTGCCGCTGCTGATGAAAAATACAAAAAGGAGCCAACAGCTGCCCCCAAATGCAGGCAAACACTGTTTTCCCAAGTGCTTTCACAGAGGTGTGTGGTGCGCGCCTGTCATGTTGCTGAGTGCTGATCCTCCTGGGGTGATCGTATACTATTTTATATATGTACCTATTTTATTTGATCGTCAGAGAGTAATCCTGTTTCAATATTCTTACTAGAATGCCATGTAGATTTCTATTGATTTCAGAGGAACTTTTTAGAGTTCTCTACAGATGTATATGTACATATTTATCACACATATTTCCTTAGATGCTGGTCTGCCACCTGCTGAGGTTAAGGTGTGAAGTTGTGTCCATGCCTCATTCAGTTTGCTGCTGCTGGTGCGAGAACTGCTGCCGGGGAGTGGTGTGGGGTCTGTTCGGATCTGGTCTGGCAATTGGCAAACATAACAATAAACAACAGGATGGCAGTGGAATGGCATTTTGCGGTTTACGGGGTGGGAGTGGGTGGTGGGGCGTGAACAGCGGCTGATTGGGTGACATTCTCGGCTGAAGAGTTACCGGAGAGAGGCATTCCCGGATTGCCATTGTTGCCAGTATAATTTCAGATAAAGCACAAAGCACTCGGCCGCACAGATGCAGTTACAATTGGTATGCCAGAGCCCCCCTACACCGTTACCTCCCTCCATCCGCCTTCAATTCGCTATCCCTGACCCCGCCCCACCAACCTTACCCCGCATTGCATGAGCTCGCATAATAAGTTCCTGTTTATCTCGGCTCGGTTTGTGTTTGTTTGCCCAACGTTGGCTGCAGTGCTCTTCGTCATGCCTCCCCTCTCTCTCCCCCTGCCGCTTTCGCCTGCTCCTTCTCTGTTGCTCTGTTGAATATATATGCATGTGTGTGGGTGTATGTGTGCGGCTGTGCAGGTGTCATGTTTCCGTTTCCGCTGCAACAGCAGCGGCAGCGGCAGCAGCAGCCGCCAGTCAAGTGCAAATATTTTTGCATGCTGCACCTCACACACAGAAAGAAAAACCGCAACAGACTCCTCCAACAGCCCACCTTTTGGGGGATGGGTGGTAGTGGCATTGGATTTTATTAGGTCTGACTGGAACTGGTGCTGGGAGTGGGACTGCGTTCTTGTTTGTGTTGTTTTAACCACTGCAGGAGCAGCAGCACCAGCACCAGCACCACCAGCAGCGGCAGCGGCAGTAAAAATATTTGCTTTCGTTCACTTTCAAGTGTGCGGCATGTCGATAAGTGCCAGTGACTGCAGTTTTTCCAAATGTTTACC